TTTAGCCACGGTAGAGGGGTCATACCATCTCTCACGGAGCGGGGGGGCAGCAGTCTTGTCAGCCTACGTCAGCGTGTGTACTACCAGTTTGGAATGTAGCGTCTTGGAGTGTGGTCAGGTGTATAGTACTACTCCTGGTCTCCATAGGCAATGTTTTCTGCTTGGGGAGTAACTCTGAACAGCCCCACAGCAAGGGTATAGCTTCGCGTGCCCCACAACAGTGTTTGCCTTTCTGAGAGGCTATAGTTACCAGGCAGTAACAGTATATACTCGTAGTGGCCAGCCATCTGACAGTTATTTAGCAATAAAATAAAACAGACAAGTGTCAGGATTAATTTCTTGTGGTTATACTATACCACTACATGCTTCAATCTTCAGAGATCATCAGTGGGTGGATTCAAAATAAATAAATATGAACTCACTGAATTGCAAGTTAATGTTAAAACGAATTTCTATGAAATGGATCAATTTTTGACATCAAGATAGTGCTATAATTTAGAACTTGTGTATTTTGAATGATTGAAATGTATAACCACAATAAATTAATCTTGACATTTTTGTCTGTTTTATTTTATTGTTAAGTGACTGTTGTGTAGGCAGCCACTGCATATTGTCCATAACACAAAAGGGTAAAGAGAATGAAGATCAGATGAAGAAACCATGTAACAAAGACTTCTCTATAGAGATGACATAAAAAATCAATATTGTCTTGTTGGAACCCAGCATCCTTTTTACACAGAAGTTTATTTCTAATGTCAAATTAAATTAGTGTTTGTAGTGTGATTTGCAAATCAGAACACAAATGTTCATTAAATTGTGGCTGAATGATTGAGGCCTATAACCCTCAAGTGAGCATTACCAAAATTTTACTCAGGCAGGCATGTGACATGAAAATGAACATGGGGTAGGCCTCAACCGATCCCTGCACCATGACTATCAGGGCATGTGGCATGTTTTGAATGCTACTTTGGTTTCTCAAGAATAATTTGTGAATCTAAAAAAAGCTATTGTTTATTTTTTATTAAGGCTATATTTTATCATCTCTCACTAAACATGAGCACAATGATTATGTTATGCTTAGTTAGGCACATGTCTGAAATAAAATTAAAAATTATAAACAGAATTTCTCCTTAATTCTTCAATGGATATTTAAGTACTAACTTCAGGAGCCATATTATCACATGCATCACAGTTGTATGTTACACTCCCATGTTTCCTGCATTCAAATTGACTGCATGAATTGCAATTTATTGTTGTGTCCATATTATTCACCCTCCCACAAAAACACACCTAAATTTCATATTCACTTCTTCACATGTACCTTCCCTTTCCATGGGTTCCTGATACAGCAAAAGGAATGCTGTCATATCCACTATGAGTAACTTTATTTTTCCTCTTTCAATAAGATATGGCATCACTGGCAACATGGACATGTTCTTAAAAAATGTCCCCCTCACCATTTTTGGATTTCTGCATTGAAATAGTAAAGAACTCACATAAATGATTCCTGCCATGTTTATTTGTAAGAACAATGCATTACACATTTGATTAATCATGTCAACATCACCTTTGGTCATATCCATTATGATTCATGGCTTGTAGAATTCGTTATCAATGACACATTATGAACAGCTGATAAAATCACTACACAGTTGTTCTTCTATTGCACACAAGATATAAGAATTTTCTTTTCACCTTCTTGAAACTCAAAGACAGACACTCAACTCTGTGACTTATACGAGTATTCCCTTCAAATTCCATTGGGATCTCTTTCTTGTTCTGTGAAAGAGACAATACAAGCAATTTTCTTTTCCAAAACAGATTTAGCTAAAGGATAACTAGTAAATAAATTATCTATAGTATGGTCCCCATCTGTTCCTACATCACCAGTCAATTTATTTACAATGTCTTCTGGTTTATTTCCTACAAAATACGAAGTTATGCCGTTATACGTTTTTGTTTCCCAACTTACAGATTTCTTGTGAAAAATTATTTTTTGATCACACACACTATAAAATGTTTACTCCATACTTACGTTTGTTGGGAATTTACTGAACAACACTGCACCAATTGTGGAGATCCAATTTTTTTGTAAATTGTAACAAAGGCAGCAACACTATATGTGTTCCTGCAATTCAATAAGAACTGGTTCAACATAGAACACACTGCTGCTAATTTATTGCTTTCTCTTACGATATTTCTTGTCTCCCTATTGTCAAATCTTACTGCATGCAACAAGAATTAAAATCTTTTGATGCTCATATGTGCTTCAAGTATTTGTGTCACTGTTTCATCCTAATTCCACAGTTCTCAGATATTTGTGCAAGATCTCTTTTGCGTCCCCATAAAATAAAGTGCCCTCAATACAACCATGACTCCTTTTCTGTGACACGTCTTGTGCATCTCTGTTCCTCAAATACTGAACTGATGCACGTTTACTCTGAATACATACATTTATGTATTTCACAAAATCACAACCACAGCTAAATCAATTATTCTAAAAAATGAGATTTCATCACCAATCCACCTTGCAACAGGCTTCAAACTAGGAAAAACTTTGATAATGCTCTTACTTCTGGTTTCAGACTGCTTAGAATAATCAGTTTTCATTCATTTACAAACCTCATTCCTTCCAACAAAGCATTCACCACTCAAAGAATTTTAATTTTTGAACTGCTGGTATTGTCTCCTTAGGCACATGCAGTTAAGCAATCTTGTTCAAATTCCCTTGCAGGATAACTCCTGGCAGAAATCTCTTCTTCTTCGTAAGATTCATCATCATCTATGACCTCTCTGATTCTTCCTGAAGTATTCTCATTTCATCATCTCTCACATCATGTGCCCTACAGAACCAAAAACATAAGTAACTTTTCTATTTCTACCTACCACAAATTTTTTGAATATCGTAAACAGCAATATCTAAGCTTACACTTTATTTCAAAGAATATGACAGTATTAGTCTGTGGCTGTTAACATGTGAAAATCATATTTAAAAGTGAAAGTAGATAGCCAAAACGAATAAAATAAAATTACTTACATAACCAGGCATGTGGTATATTAAGTACACCAACCACCACCTTTATTCCAATCATGTTATCTGTAGACCTTCCACGTTTACTAACAACACGTCAGACAATGGACAAGAAGACAAATGAATACTAATAATGAAGTTGATGTGAGGCATGTGAAAATACTGCCATATTTAAACTTGTAAAAATGGCATACACCATATCCTAATGAGCTCACTTGGGGGTTAGAGTTATATCTGTGGTTCATGTTCACATTGTTATTCAAATCCTGCAAATGAGGTGGCTCTTTGAATACACATTTGATAGAACTGTACATACAGAACATGATATTCATTTCGAAAGGACGGCTGAGAACATGGTGAGTGATTAAAGTGAAGATATATCTGAAAGGAAAAAACAAAGCATAGGCATAAGTGAGAGACGTGAAACTACAGCAGGCCAGACAAGACTCAGTTTTTCTTGTTAGTCTTTGCTCTCATAAAAGAATATGAAGAGTGGTGATGATAAGATTACATCAGTTTGTTATCTTATTTTTTAAATACATTTTTTCAAAATAGCTCTTGATATTTATGTATGTCACATGTGAAGAGAGTCAGCAACTTACATCATACTTGAGGCTGACATGGCAGATCCATGGTACGGTCCCCTATCTCATATGACAACATGCAGTCTGGCAGATGGATGAAAACATTTCGGAGGAATGTACTGTCTCCATCTGCAGGGCAGAAGTGCTTTATGGTCTTCTGGATTATGTAACTGTGTAGTCTGGTAGGTGGCCACCAACATTTCAGAGGAATGGACAGCCTTCATTTTTATGATAGGCACTTCTACCCTGAGGATGTTTCTTCAAATGTTGGTTTCCACCTATCATACTACATGGAGTCATAACCCAAAAAGATCATTAAATGTTTCTATCAATTTCATTACATCAGGTGAGAAGCAAACAAGTACTCAAAGATAACACCTAACTCAAAAGTCCTGCCAACAGATTATGGTTCACATGATTCACATTTGACACAAAGATTCACACTATTTATTTCCTTTATGTACTTGCAAGTGCCTCTTGAGATTTCCTTTGCGTGAAAATGCCATTGGACATATGTTACAACTAAATGGTTTCTCACCAGTGTGCAATATACTGTGACTTTTAAGATGAGCCTCTTGAGTGAAAGCCTTGTTACATGTGTGACACACATATCGTTTTTCCCTAGAATGAACAACCAGATGCCTTGTCAAGGAACTCATATACGGGAATGACTGACCACAGTATACACACATGTATGGCTTCTCCTTCAAATGAGGTTTACTTCGATGTACATCTAGGAAATGATGAGATTTGCAGTCTTTTACACACCCACAACTGTGAACCTGGATATTTGATGGAAGACTCAGGTTTCCTCTGTCATCATAGTCTTTTTCAAGGTTAGAAGTTGAATGCTCTTGTTGAGATTTAAGTAATATAGTGCTATCAGTTTCAGTATGTTTATTGTCAGATGGCAAGTTGCTTATCCCTAGTGGTGCCAGTAAGTGTATACCAACAGCACACTCAATACTGTCCTCATAACTGCTTTCAGACACATCCATGGCACTTGTATCTGCTGCAGACACATCATCTTTCCTTATAATAAATGGCTAAAAAGCAGAAGAAAAGTATTAGTTTTCAAATGGTAAACTTCTGAATACAATGCAGTCATGCTGGCATTGAACAAAGCTGATCAGTATGTGAAATGTCACTGTCACATATTATATTGAGACTGTACCTGCACTTGACTTAGTCTAATGGTAAAAATTTAGTACTCAGACACCAGACCTGTGTCAGTGGCAGGCGTTCGTGATGACTGGCACAGTATTTCTGCAGGGCCAAGTCTGATCGTTCTACCTGTAGTTTGAAGTTGTAACAAATATTCACCAGACTTTCACATTCCTCACATACAAGTGTTGGAAGACCATCACCGGGCTGGATCTAGAAAACAGTAAAGCAACACACATTCTTGGCACAAATCTCTCACACATTTCCCCATTCACTCACACACAGCAAAATGGGGATAATTTTATGAACAAAATTTACCAATAAAAAAAAGAACAATGCTGTGTTCCCATCTGAAGGTGATCTCATTTTTACATAACTGTTTCTTGGCTATTTTATGATGCCATATCAATTGCCCAGGTTAGCAAAGAATGAGAGATGAATATTGTAAACTATGATGTGTGATGGATGTGGAAGTAACCGTAGCTTATTTTAAGGTACTATCGTTGGATCTGCCTAGAGGAACTGCGGAAAAGAACAAGGCCTCAGTGATAACAGAAAGCCCAGACCAGAACTTCTGAATCCAAGTCACATGTGACATCTTTACTCCAACCTGCGGAATAAGTTCAGTTCAAACATCAACTTTAAGGTCTACATTTTTTGTTGCATATTACCTTTATGGATTTTACTTGTAAATGTAAACAAACATGCAAATCTACTTAACCTACTAAAAGTTCAATAAACACAATTTCCAATCCAAACCCTGTCTGTAGTCACTCATACACATGAATATGCAAATTATATGGGGCAAAGGGAAAACTACATAGGCAGTGTTGGACCTCAAGGCACTGCAAAATATGACAGAATTTGTGGCCATTTTTAATTGTTTTTCAGACACTATTGACCGAGAAAGACACAGGTACATGGAGCATTTCTATGCGGGCTTCAAGTCTCAGCCAGGTGGCCTGCCAGGGAAAATCTGGTAAAGCTGGGAACCGGACCTGGGACCTCTGACCACTAGATCACAGAGGGCGTCCATGAATATAAAATCTGATCCTTTAACAACTGTAGTGATGTGCATGAATATATTAAAATATTTATAAATTATTATAAGTAGTTTATTTATAAGTATGGTTTAAAATGACTTTGTTAAAATTTAAAACCAATTTTGTTTGTGTCCTTTATACTGCCTCTCTTTAAAGGAAGTTGAGTGTCTACCAGCTTGTGGTTCCACTGTTTGATGAATATGGCTTTTTACTGTCTTCCTGTTGTTCAGGACTAATAAATGGCTACCAGTCACACCTTATGTATTTTTAAAACACTTACCTTCACAGTATGTAAAAATCTTCTTATTTTTGTCAATAAACTACTCCCTTCTGTCAGTTTTGTTGATGGTGTCTTTATTTCCTCCAAACAAAGTCGGCAGATTTCATGCAAATTTACAGCCATGGTTCAATAACGTTGAAATGCTGAAATTATAATAAAAGGGAACAGCTAGAACGAAGAGCAGTACTTGCTTAAAAATTAGTTAACTCCTGCACATATAACTTTCCATCATTTAAATTTGAAAGATGGTCCACATGTTGGGGCTGCAAGTATTTAAATTTGGACTAAATACACATTAAAAAGGTAAAAATTTTAGACATCACATCCACATTCTAAGGCTGAAAACCCACTGATGCAACTAGTCGCGGGTAGCTAGCCGCTCTTTGTTGCGCGCGTCCGTTAGTTGTACATATTAGGCGTGCGACAGCTCTGCCGCCTGTGTGCTGCGTTCCAAAACTTAACCGCGCGTGGCTTGTCGCATAAATGGGTTTTCAGCCTAAGCTCCTCAACAAGAATCAACACGGGATGAGGAGCTTATACATATGTGTGATTATTGGTGGCAATTATTCTGATATGAATTTGATTTGTTTCATTCTGGTCCATCACACTAACAATTATAAATACAAACCACTCCGTCCAATGTGACATATAACTTTTTACTACATGAAAACTTATCTCCCTTACATGTTTCGGTCCTTACAGACCATTTTCAGAGAGAACAACATTATGAACTGGAAACTACCATCACAATAGGTGTTTTGATTTAAAATACATACTTATATTCTATAATGCACAGTAAGCATAAAGTCGAACATTTCACAATCACAGCAGCTTCCTGGTATTGTAAAGTTTTTAAAGTTTCTAGATGTTAATTTAAAAAACCTTTATTGTCACTAGTTAAAATTTTTTAAACCACGCAGGTTCGTGTCCATACTCCTATTGTCCTTTTTGTATGGGGCAGATTTTGTGCCACCTGTCTGCCCCATACAAGGAGGACAATAGGAGTATGGACACAAACCTACATGGTTTAAAAAAATTTAACTAGTGACAATAAAGGTTTTTTTAAATTAACATCTAGAAACTTTAAAAACTTTACAATACCAGGAAGCTGCTGTGATTGTGAAATGTTCGACTTTATGCGTACTGTGCATTATAGAATACAAGTGTATGTATTTTAAATCAAAACACCTATTGTGATAGTAGTTTCCAGTTCGTAATGTTGTTCCCTCTGAAGATGGTCCGTAAGGACCGAAACATGTAAGGGAGATAAGTTTTCATGTAGTAAAAACTTATGTCACATTGGACGGAGTGGTTTGTATTTATAGTTCTGATATGAGTTTGAACATGCTGGGCTGAAAATCATAAAAGTATTTCTAGAGATGTGCAATGTTAACGATACAATCATTCGTTAGTAAAACCAACTCATTTTTTGTAAATACTCCACTAATAATATCCCAGAAGACTGTTTTCTTCATAATCACCGCCGTGAAAACTTCAAATCTTACAATAAAAGTGTATTTGAATAAATCAAAATGGTTATTCCATAGATAAGTACCAACATCTTTTAACAAGACACATACTTTGACTGTAAATGCCAGTGTTCAAAATATTATTCCAAAGTTCAATCAAGGTAAAGAATCATAACCTAGAAGACAAAAAAGTGCCCTCACCTTAAGGATAAATTATAACACTTAACAATTAAGTGAACCACGTACTGGACGTCCTTATAATTTCACACGGACGTATGAAAATGTTTCATCATTACTGATAATATAAATTATTTTCATTTAATATTATCAACGATATCTCTAGCTTGATCAAACCCAATTTCTAATCCAAAGCATAACATAATCTTCTGTCATCTGCGGTCATCTGTGACCTGAGGTACTAATCATCTATATTTAGTAATCGGTGCATACACATGTGCACATGTGGTAGTGACCATTTAAGGTCTATTTACACACATCCGTGACGTGTCAGTTCGGTGAAATTTCATCCGTGTCAGTGATGATTCATATCGTTTCTTTGAACTTGACGAACGCATCCATACATCTCCGGTGCAGAGCCGCATTGTAGGTGTCACGATTGGTGCAGTATCCGTTCCGTGGCATTGTGTATCGTTGCAAACGATATTTTTCCTCTTTCACGGACCCGTTGTGGTGTGGAGTGTGTGCATATTTGTGAAGAAAAATGAATGACGAACAACTTCTTGAACTGGTTCGCAGTTACCCTGTTATCGCAGCCAAAGTACGTGGACAGCAGTTTCAAAACTGATATTTGGAATACGATAGGAAAAGAAATGAAAGCAGTGTTATAGCCTTTCTCCAGCGGGTGTCTTGATGTTTTAAATGAACTTGTTTTGCTCAGCAATATGTTAAAACAATTTTCAGACATTCTGAAATATCCAAAAAATTTCATCTCATCAATTTGTTCATTATACAGAGTATACAGAGTTCTCCATCACGTTATCTATTCACCCATGCCTCGTGTACCCACTTCCGTTTTCACCTCGCGCTGTTCCTCTTCATCCAGAATTACTGCAGTTACTGTCAATTCAATGTCCGTAAACTTTGTCATCTCGAAAATCACTGACTTCGAACTACTGAAATGAAACTGATAGGGCCCTTGTCCACGACAAGAATTTTCGCCGTCCGCCGTTCCGATAGATTTACCACGTTGGTAGTGATGCATTCTTTCATATGAGACTCTGTCCACGAGCAAATCTACCGGTCCGGCTGCCGGATGCAGCATCGGTTTCCCAATGTACTTCATTGTTTCATTGTCCATTTATTTTCCATATATATCCCTACAAGTTAAAAAACCAGGATGTGGAAATTGTCCTTTGAATACAGATATCAATATGCATATACAAGATCAAAATCATATACATCAATCAATAAACATAAATAATAATGTAAGGTAAAAGAATCTAATAAAAATAAACATACATTAAGAATAACTTACTCACGTTATTAATCCCACTTGGCTTTAACAAGCCAAGGGATAATAAAACAAGTCAAATACATATACATACATGTGTGTTACAAGATACAAAACAAAACAAGCAAGACAGGATTATGCCACATGCAATAATACCATAATTAAAATACAAAATTTATAATAGACTGACATAATATCAATCATAACTTTTAAAATACCACAAATTTAGGTAACAATCAACAAACCACAGACATATATGTACTCATCCACATAAATTACTACAAGGAAATGCTATCCTTCGATCTGCAACATTCAAAATATTCATCCAAAGTATAAAATGAATGAGAAATCAAGAAATCCTTCAAAGCAATTTTAAAATCTTTACAATTAGTGAACAACTGCTTTAGATATAAGGGTAAGCTATTAAACAATCTGATACCCATACAGTATGATCCCTTCAGGTATAGTGATAGATGAACTATAGGTTGATAAAAATTAAGATTAAAACAATGTCTTGTATTTCTACTATGTATATCAGTTGTAAACTGATATAAATTTATATTATCAACCACAAAGCATAATAAAGAGTAAATATACTGAGACTGAAGAGGAAGAATTTTCAATGTCACGAATAGCTGCCTACAAGAGTTCCTGTAACCAGTACCTGTGATTATTCTAAGTACTCTTTTCTGTACACGAAAAACACTTATAGCATATGATGAATTACCCCAAAATACAATACCAAATTTCATGAGTGAATGAAAATAAGCATAGTACACCGTTACTAATGTTGCCTGATTAACATATGGCTTCAAGGCTCTAATAGTAAAGCAAGCAGTGTTGAGTTTGGAAAGTAGTTGGTCAATATGTTTCTTCCATGACAGAGTATTTACAATATTAATACCCAGAAATTTAGTAGATCTTGTACTCAAAATATTCTTATTTCCATTGTTAATACTGATGGAATTGCACTGCTCCTCTATGTTTTTGGCTATAAATTTAATAAAATGCGTTTTCGAGAGATTTAGGGATAATAGGTTTGCATTGAACCATGTAATTAAAATATTGGAGACTTCCTTAAGTCTGTCTAGAAGAGTAAACGGGTCAAATTCCTTGATAATTACACTGGTATCATCCGCAAAGAGAATAGGGGTGGAAACCTTATTTAGGATTAACGGAAGATCATTGATATAAACTAGAAAAAGCAAGGGCCCAAGAATGGAACCCTGGGGGACTCCATGAGAAATTTCACCCCAGTTGGAATAAGTACTTGAGCTAGAATGTTTTGATTGTAATCTTATTCTTTGAAACCTACCATTCAAATAAGATGCTATTAATTTGTGAAGTGGGCCAGATATACCATAAAATTCCAATTTAGATAACAATATCCCATGGTTAACACAATCGAAAGCTTTTTCCAGATCGCAAAATAATCCTCCCACACTATGCCCATCATTAAGGGCTTGGATTATCTGATTCAGTAATTTGAAGGTAGCTTTATCGGTTGATGAATTTGGCCTAAATCCAAATTGTTCGTTTACTAATATGTTATTATTGACCAAATGATTACTAAGTCTACTATAGATTACCTTCTCAAATATTTTTGAGAAGGAGGTCAATAATGATATTGGTCTATAATTACTAATACAATTCCTGTTACCCTTTTTATATATGGGTTTTATTTCTGAGAATTTAAGACGATCTGGAAAAATACCAGTTGATAAGGATCTATTTACAATATGGGTTAATGGGGATAAAATGTAATCTACACTGTTTTTTAAAATTTTGATAGGGATCTCATCGTAACCATACGAATTAGTCATTTTCAATTTATTAATGATGTTTGCTATTTCTTTAGCTGTGGCAGGATTGAAATTAATTTTAGGAAAAGTAACATTAAAAACATCAATTAAATAATCATAAAAATTTGTTTTTTCATTTGGATTACAATCCTTTTGAATATTATTGATAATTAATTCGGGTACAGATAGAAAATATCTATTGAAGGATTCAGAAATATTATTATAATTGGACGTAGATCTATTAAAATTATTGTTAAACATGGGCAAAATATCATAATGAGATTTCCTACCAGTCAAGGTTTTAACGACATTCCAAGCACTTTTGACTCTATCATTAGAGTTTATAATCCGTTTATCATAATAAATACGTTTAGTTGCTATAATATCACGAGCCAAGGATTTGCAATATGCCTTGTAATAACTTTTTATATTAGGATCACTGCTATTCCTACTGATCATGTACAAGTGCCTTTTAACATTACATTTGGTTTTTATACTAGATGAGACCCATGTTTTGTTTTTCGTAATATAGGGCTTAACATTTGCCTTAGGAAAACTAGAATTAAAAAATCTTAAAAATATATTTAGAAAAGAATTAAACATAGTATTGACGTCCTTTTCTTCAAATACATCATTCCACATCTCATAACTAAGTTTATAATTAAAATCATCAAGTGAGCATTTGTCTATTTTCCTAGTTATTAAACACACTTTATGAGGAGATGGTAACACAATATCGTGGATCAAGATGAATTGAGCATCATGATCCGATATACCATTGGGTATAGCGAATACTTTAAAAGACTCCAATCTCCAATAATCAATGAAAATATTATCAATGGCTGATTTGGATGAATTTTGAATTCTTGTAGGAAAGTCAATAACACTAAAAAGATTATATGAGTTCAATAAAGAATTCAATTGACTTTTTCTGTCGTTATCAGTAAGATAATCAATATTAAAATCACCACATACAATAAGCTCTACTTTAGTATTGTATAATAATTTTAATACAGAATCCATTTTATGCATAAAGTGTAAAAAGTTACCAGAAGGTGCTCTATAAACTACCAGTATAAGAATAATTAATAAGTCAACCTGAATTTTCAGAGCGGACAATTCGACATCAAAATCCAAACAATATGTTTCCAAATTTACAGCAACACAATTTAAATGATTTTGAACAAATATACATGTTCCACCTTTGAGTGCCTCCCTTCTACAATATGATGCACCCAATTTATAATTTTCAACCACCATAGCGTTCAGTTCATTGTGTCTTAAGTGATGTTCGGTAATACAAATAATATGGGGAAAATCTGGGTATAATGAACTCAATAATTCATCTACCTTATATCTCAGACCACAAATATTCTGATGGTATAATTTAATAGATTGACGTGTAACAGATGATTTAATATCATTATTTACTTTAATTACATTGTCAGCATTAGAACAATTTTGATTCTTAGGGGCTGGGATTAGATTTCCCATAAAAAATCCTTCGTTCTTGTTACCGGCTTTCTTTTTGACCGCTTAACTGATAAATTTTTAGTAGTTATATCAAGTATCAATGATGGGGAAGGTTGCTTCCCGTCGATATTTGTATGCAGCCCATGACGAGTGGAGTGTTCCTTAATTATATCAACATTTAGGTTTTCTGCATTATCATTGATCTTCAACAACTTCTGTAATTTCTCTACAGTGTCTTTCCTTTCTTCCATCCCCTCCCTTTTTCCTGACAGACCATCATCCCATGCCAGGGTAATAGGTTTTCCCTTCTTTCTTGTAACAATTTTATGAACCACATCTGATATTTTTTCCGCCATCTTTTCCTTCCCAACTATAGTCATGTGCAGCCCATGACGAGTGAAGTGTTCCCTATTTATATCAACGTCTAGAATTTCTGCATTATCATAGATCTTCAACATCTTCTGTAATTTCCTGTACTGTAGAGACCGGTAGAGACGGCAGCCGGACCAGCCGGACGGTGCACTGTGTTATCAGTGGTACATGCATTAACATGTCTACGTGTCCATGAGCCGGCGAGATCGCCGTCAGTCATCAGTTTGACTTGAGTTGAGCGTGCAAGTTTAATGTGTTTTGTGTCTGTAGTATTATTTTCATTACAATGAGCGCAGAATTCAATATTTACTGTGAATTATTAATTACGCTTGTCGGGGAAAGACCAGTACTGTGGGATAATTCAAGTGAAGAGTACAAAGACAGGCGGCTAACTTTGCAAGCTTGGAAGGATGTATGCCCACACCTTAAAGAAGATTTTGAAACACTGGGAGATAAGGAGAGAAACGATATAGGTATGTAATTTTCATCTTAAATCTTTGTGTGATAATTTTATTAATACACAATACATACTTTCTATCTATACCTACTATCTATTTTCAGTTATTTTATTAATATAAAAATTACCGGTATTGTCAAAACATTCTCCATGCGCAGATACGATATTATCTAGCAATGAACTTGTGATTTAAAAATTGCACATTGAACAAATAAACTGCTAACAATGATTTCCCAACAAAATATTCACTGAAAAAAGCAGTCTTCTGGGATTTGGCACCGTGTATATGTGGTGTTAACCGACGTTTCGGAGGAACGTATCGCCTCCATCTTCAGGGTAGAAGAAAAAATATAAGAAAACTGCAAGCGAAGAGACCGTAAGAACCAGTAAAAGCAGACCGTGAAAGCCTCAAATCTTACAAAATATTCACTAATAATAAAGATTCTCACAAGAAGTTGTGAGAGTGAATTTATGGCAGTGGCAGTGCTGAGTTCGTAGATTATCTCCATTACTGCACATAATGCATTAATACATTAAGCGAACTTATTCTGCCATGGAATTTTTCCAGCTTCGGAAACAAAGTACTTAGCGAAATTATTTCTGATAGTGTTCGCTGAGAAACCACCTCGTACTGCTTGTGAGCGAGGGAGTTTTCTTGGTTCCGAGTCGTATCGGCACTCATAGTATTAAGTCCTTCTTCTTTATGGATGAAATTCTGAAGAACACAACAAGCTTTTACTATGTCAGTCGCAACATCTGTGGAGACATTCAAAGGCCGATGAAAAATCCTCCACTTATTGGTCATTATGCCAAATGCACACACTACAAATCGTCTTGCTCTAGTTTAGCAATAGTTAAAAATTCGCTTAAAGTGGTCAAGTTCTCGGCTACCATAGGAAGGAAGTAAATTATTATGCAATGCAGAAGCTTCATCACCTACGAGAACATATGGCAATTCCCCTTCAATATCTGGTAGTGCCCTGGGAGGGGAGGTATGTTTAGTGTGTTTCCTTGCAGCATTTTCCATAACGACGTTTCTTTAAACACACTTGAGTCGCAATCCTTTCCATAAGCACTGGCATCCACAAAAATGAAATTATAATTTGCATCCACTACTGCCATCAGGACTAACGAATAATAACTTTTATAATTGAAAAACATTGAACCACTCTCTTCTGGTTTGATAACCCTGATGTGCTTGCCATCAACGGCCCCTATGCAGTTTGGAAAATTTGCGGTAATTTCAAACTGGCATGCTATATCCATCCATTCACTGACCGTCGGAATGGACATATATGTTCTATATAATAACAACCACATCTTCATGCAAACCTCACGTACAGTTCTACTAATTGTTTTTATTCCCAGTCTGAAATTGTAATGGAGATCTGTGAACGTATTTCCTGTTGCTAAGTACCTGAAAAAACATAGTTTTAATTCTTTTCGGTTTTTTTTCAGGAAAACTGGTGATAAAAAAATGGGCAAACATAATGGATAACTGGATGAAATGTCACAAGAAATTAAATGAGGAGCAGAAGAGCGGTTCTGGAGCAAAGAGGCGCAAATACCTGTTTTATAAGGAACTACGATTTCTGACAAAAATAGCAACTCATCGACAAACTACTTCAAATATGCCTGATAACGTTAACCTTGCTGACAGGCAGACTGAGAGGCAAGAGGAAAAACGTAATCATGAATGTTATGCCGCAAATTTCAAAAGGGGAAATTTGAGGCATTGTCCCAAATGTTACAACAATTGCTAAGAGCTTTCACAATGATCAGGGTAAGGATGGCAACACATACACTGTGTAAGTAGGTCAAGAATATACTTAGTCAGCATCAGACGGCTCACTTTTCTGGGCCACTGGAGCGAAGGAAGTTCCCAATCACACGAGGATGAGACACTGCGGATTTGTCCACAACAAAAAGGGGTTAGCCAATGGGAACCCACCACTCGTAATTTGAGGGCAAAAAGGAGGAGGTAGCTTTACTTTTGGGGAAGCAGCTGCGTTAGCAGTTTTATAGTATAAAGAGGGAGAAAAAAAGCCGTTTGGGGACTGATCAAAAAAACGTAATATTCGACAAGCAGCCAAAGGCTCTGTTAGGCATGGATTCAACAAGATGGTGGTTGGTTGTGAATGCCTGCGTCTCTATCTCAAGTAAGTCAATCTGCTCATACTAGCCACGTTACTTAAACTTTATCGTTGTTGGTGAAATGGTGACAGTGCAATCTCCAGTGGGCCCTGCGAGTTTGAACAGGCTAGGGTAGAGACTACGCCAAGAGGGTAGAAAATGAAGGGAAGTGACAGTCTCAAGCCATACTCCCTAGGTGGGAGATTAGAATGAAAGGAGAACTAGCTAACAAGCTGATACTATGTAAACCCGACAGAACATTGGCATTTGTATATTTTAAATAAGGGTGTAAATAGACCGAGGTAGTTAGGATAGAATGTACTCAGAGTTGTGATTCACCCCCACGCACTAAACCCTTCCCAGACCGATCCGGAGCTATCCTAGGTCAGACGAAAGCAGATTTGATCCCCGGGCAGCCAGCAGCAGCCGCATGCATGAACAGTTGTAAGGGTGAGGGGAACCCCAGTTTCAGGAAATTAAATGACACCCCAGTTCTTGGGGGCGTGACAGTTAGTGGTTAGAGTTGGGTCGGAACATACGCGCCCGCTCTACGCCATTACAAAATGGTGCAGTGGGTGGGAGTAGCCAATGAAGAGTTGGCTGACGAAGTGAATTAGCAGTTTCTGTACCCCCCCCTTGAGGCATTACAAATTGGCAGCATCGCAAATTACGAACCGCACTCTGAGAGACTAGGAAATAAAAGGTTAGGAAACAAGAAATAACTATGGAGGCTAGGATAACGCAACTAGAGGAACGATTAAGCGGACTAACGCTAGGAGTTAAAACCAAAGATTTATCACTGGCCGCAAGAATTAAGGAATGGAGTGGTCAAGCCAATGCCAGACTTGTAACCGAATTCCTGTCTCAAGTAGCGCAATGTGCATGCCTGAGCAACTGGTCGTGAGAAGACTTAGCAGATATAGTAAGAGCTAAGTTAACGGGAGACGCGAGACTGTTCGTATAATGTAGGGACCACCTCACGGAGGTAAACATGAGATATGAGAAATTGAGAGCAGCATTATTGGGCAGATTTAGCGAGAAGCTACCTGCGCAGTACCACTACAGCCAACTCCATGAGGCCGCGCAAGGACGGGACGAATCGCCCATCCAATTTCTGGACAGAGGTCACGCACTGAGCCAGAAAACAGTGAGAAAATTCGCAGACCCGACCGAGCAAAGAATCCTAAAGGAAGAAGCAGAGTTCAGATTACTTACCAGCTTCGTGTATGGACTAAGGAGGTAACCGGGACACGAACTGAGAATTCGCAACCCCAAAACGCTGGAACAAGCACTGACTATGGCAACTGTGATATACAATGCCAATAAAATGGAACCAAGGCTTAAGGAACATATCACCTTCGCGGTACAGAAGAGCGAGCAGGACACCTTCGAGGCACGGAGGAGTAGACCGCCATGGAAAGGGAGTAGACAAAAGTGGAGAACGAGCGGACGGAACCGAGAGAGGGTTCGAGCCCAGCTCATTTTTTATGAATGCAGACAACCAGGCCATATAGCCCGAGATTGTGAAGCTAGAGAGAATTAGATGGCTACAACAGCATGAAGCAAAGTGCAAACGAATCGGTTCTACAACATTGGCACAGGTGATCGACACAAGTAGGGAAGGGATCACGCTGTAAGCAACGAGAGAAGCTGCATACTTCAAGATGTCAAGAAAGCAGGCCTACAAGACGTCACGAAGGGTGACGTGACATTCCGCCTGACGCACAAGGCAAGGGGTTGAACGGTCCAGGGGATTGTGAGAAGAGTCGCCTCAAGGGAGGGACTTGACAGGAAACCGGTGCGCAGAGAAGCATAGCCAGGGAACAGCTGAACCGGGTTCAGCGTGCTTGCAAGGAGAAGCAAGCGTAAATCGTATACTCACTATGAGAGAGGCAGTAGATAAGTGCAATGGAACCGCTGACTATGCACAAGCCGCTAGCTGGGTGGAAGAACTCGGTTCACAATACTCGTACCAACAGCAGAGAGAGACGCTAATAGTGAGGCAAGTAATAGGGGCTCGCCAGCGTCAAACACTGTGGAAGCAAACGAGATAAGTGAACGTAGCCAGAGCTGTTCACTGCGCCCCCGAGTCCGGAGGAATTATAAAGAGTAAACACGGCCGGAGGTTGAAGCACACGCCAGAGTGACAGGAGATGATTAGGGACCAGGAGAAGTCGCATCCATCGACAAAACGGGACCGTACACCACATCCAGAAATGGGGAACCGTTACCTATTGATGTATGTCGATCATTTTACTAAGTGGGCCGAAACAGTGCCGCTCCCCGACCAGGAGGCCTCAACAGTGGCCAACGCTCTGGTGATGCAGATTTTCGCGCGCCACGGTGTGTGTGATAAGCTGTTAAGTGATAGAGGACGGAACTTCATGTCAGAGTTACTCCGAGAGACGTGCCGACTCCTAGGAGTGGAAAAAATATTTACCAGCCCATACTGACCCCAAAGCAACGGCCAAGTGGAAAGATTCCACCGCACCCTCCACGCGGGCCTGGCTATGTACGCGGACCCCAAAGGGACAAACTGGGATGACCACCTTAACCTAGTGTTATGGGCGTACCGATCGCAGCAGCACAGGGTACTCGCCCTACCGTCTGACCCACGGGGCTGAAATGAAGGGCCTCACGGATCGAGAACTAGCGGCCTACGAGAGGAGGCCCCAACGCGTAACAGGTGTGCAGGGACACCTGGCCTGATTGGCCGGCCGGCTGAGGAAAGCGCGCCAAGCCGCCAGAAGGAAGCTGGCGGAAGTGAGACAAAGTGAACTCGCTCGCCACGACAGAAGAGCGAAGCGAATAGAGTACTGCCCCGGACAGCTCGTATACCAGAGGCAAATGGTTAAGGGCCGGAAACTAGAACCAAAATGGTTAGGCCCTTACCAAGTACTGAAGAAGGTCTCTGTCATAGTATACAGGATACAGCTAGGATGAAGGGAAGTAAATGTTCATGTAGAACAATTGAAACTATGCAGAGCCTCGCGAGAAGAGCTCATAGAGAGGCGGAAGCAAAATAGCCAAAGGATGAGAGAACAGAGGCCCAGCTTCTGAGAGAGATGAAGAGACAGATTCCGACGACGCATCGTCGGAAGGCGGCGAGGAGTGGCCACCATACTCGTACACACAGTATGAAAGACACGAGACAAATGAGGCAAGACGTCGAGTCAGCTTGAATGATGTGGCTGGGGAGGAGAAAGACGGAAGAAACAGTAGAGAGAGATGACACTAGTGCGACGAGCAAGGTCAACTCATCAGCACTCAACATGCCAAGGATGAGCGAGTCGAGTGAAGGGCAACACGGGTATGCATTGCGCCCAAGACTCCAGCGTAACTACAAAGAATAAAGACGGACGGAGAGGGAACCTCGCACAGAATAGCAGATATTAACGCGCTTTGTTTCAATTTTTCAGGTGAAGGAAGAACCGAACCAGTCGAAACAGAGAGACTAGTAGTAGACAAGGGGATGGCGTTCTTGATGGAACAAGAAATATTAATGAGAGGCGCCGTGTGGCATGTCACGATGGACTTTGGCGTAAAGGAACACGCCCAAGCGATAAGCGACCTAATCAAGGGATTTGGAGACCTAACCTTTACTGTTGGAAGGGACCCAGCTCAACGACAGTAGCTGAGGTATGCTAGCAAGCTAGCAGAGGAATTGCAGGAGAAAGTCGAAGACTTACTGCAGATGTTTCCGAGAGGTCAGCAAGTTAAGAGGGGAATGCTCATCATAGGGGGGAAAGCCCTCAAGTTTTTGTTCAGAGCCGTGCTAAGCGAAGACTTAGGACCCTTAAATGAGAGGATCGGAACTCTGAGAACCCAAGTGGGTGAACTGGTTCACGATGGGAAAGAGCGCTTAACAATGAGCCGCGAAATAGTTTTGCGCCTGAGAGAAAACTCCAAGGTACTAGCTCAGATGATACGAGCGACGAAACTGTGCCGAGAGGAAGAGGCGAGAGATCAGTTAATGTTAGAACAACAACTTAACTGGACCACGAGTCAGTAAAGAAAGAGAGCTATACAAGGGAGCTAGAGATTCTGTTAATGAAAATGTACGTGGACATAATGAACGTGGCATTAAGCTTAGACTTAGCGACGTCACACCGTATGACTGCCAGTATGTTGCCCTCCCATAAACTGTTCACGATTTTACATGACATTTATGTCCAATTAGAACAAGGCTATTCGTTTATTACGGCATTGAAGCCTGAGAATATGCATTTATTTTATGCATCGGCCCAAGTTGCAGTCCTGGCTACAAGTGAAGCCATTCGCCTCGTTATCCAATTACCTTTGAGGAGCGAGAAGCGCACATACTGTTTACAATCCAATAGCGTTGCCAACGTTCGAGCCGAATCTAGGGAAATTTATCAGAATACAAATGGACGGAGAGGCTAGCTGTGTCATCAGAGAGGAGGAGCTATATGTTGTTACCGTCAGACTACATGAGGAGTTGTCAGGAGGGAACTATTACAATATGTAAGGGGATAGTCCCGACAATTGAGAGAACAGACAAGACTTGTCTAAGTAGTTTATATTTCGGGACCACCCACGGTTACTCGCTATGCACACGAGAGATTGTGTCAGACAAATTTAGGCCTGTGTTTAGAAAACATCCTTTCGAAAGGATCATGGCTGTATGCAGTGAAGGGACTTACAAGGGTACAGTGCAAATGCATGAACACTCGCGGATGCCCCTTGAACCAAACTAGTATACAGGGAACAGGCATTCTCGACCAGCCAGAGGGCTGCGACCTAATCGTCGGATCATTGACACTACCGGCGAGTCGCCAGTTCCAGCCTACAGCAGCATGGGGCTGCCCAGGTGTAATAGTGCCACCAGCACCGGCACTTCTACACCCAGAGGAAGTCCAGTACATGATACGGCACCACGGAATACTGGAGGAGGTGTGGACCGAATGGGAAGGTCTGAGGGATGGCCGGACAGCAATACCAGCCCCCATGACAATGGACCAGATGCAGAGGCAGGTAGAGGTCCGACTCTACGCGTGGAAATGGACCTACGGCAGAGTCATGGCAGGTTCAACAGTAGCAGCTACCGTGATCGGTCTGTGACTGTGGAGGCGCAGACAGGCGTTCCCCGTCTTCTGAACATTCAATGCGAGGAGGAAGGCCGGAGCAGACAACGCAGAGAGGGACAACTCATTCCCTCTGAAAGGCGTGCCTGAGGAAAGACCCGGCGGCGAGGAAGTTCGAGACACGAGCCAGCAGACCGGAGACTCAGAGACCTGCGCTGGAATCATGGTGTACAAGTGAAACATAGACTCGTGATGAGAGAACAGGGACAAAGAAAGAGATATGTGAGAATGTATTAATGAATCAATGTAATCTTAGGTGAAGAGAACAGTTGAACTTGGAGAATGGTGATGGATGTAAAGTGATTGTAGAAAACTAGTGTAATATTTTATCCTGGTAGTAGAAAATATTCCACGTTTTGGTGAGGGGAGTTGTTATGCCGCAAATTTGAAAAGGGGAAATTTGAGGCATTGACCCAAATGTTACAACAATTGCTAAGAGTTTTCACAACGATCAGGGTAAGGATGGCAACACATAGACTGTGTAAGTAGGTCAAGAATGTACTTAGTTGGCATCAGTGCGTAATCGCACATCAGACAGCTCGCTTTACTAGGCCACTCGAACGAAGGAAGTTCCCAATTACACAAGGATGAGACACTGCGGATTCGTCCACGACAAAAAGGGGTTAGCTAATTGGAACCCACCACTCGTAATTTGAGGGCAAAAAGGAGGAGGTAGCTTTACTTTGGGGGAAGCAGCTGCGTTAGCAGTTTTATAGTGTGAATTAGTAGTTTCTGTAAGCCCCCCCTTTCAGGCGTTACAATGAACATAAAGAAGAACTGCCGAAAAACAAGAGAGCTACAAATGAGTTGGACAGGAAAATGATGACTATCATTGGTGCTTCAATTGAACAGGGCCAAAGCAGAATTATGTCTTTTTTTAAGGGCATTGCACCAACTGTAGAAAAATTCCATGAAGATATCGTCGACTTTCAATATGAAGTCATGAAACTGATTAAAAGTATTACGTCAAAACATCGAAACAGTGGAATGCGTCCACAATCCTCTGAAGTTTCTGGGAACCAATGTCATAAATCACGTGGATACCAAAGTGTCGCAGGTCCATCATCGTACCAGACATCATGGACTAATCAACAGCATGGCCAACCTGTATATTCCCCAGCCAAACCCTTACAAGCTGCAGCTAGTACAAGTGCTGCATCTAGTGAACAGATGTATTTTGAATCTTATACTAGTCCTGCGTCCACCTTGTCTAATGTTTCAGAGACTTTCGATTTTTCTAACGAATTCTAAAATGTGGAGTGTTTTATCATCTTTGATAATGTGAGTGTATAAAAAGGATGAAAGACAACTATCACTTTTGGTGGCTACCTTACTAAGGAGGATACAATTAATTTAAGGTACTTTTCATTTGTGTTACTGGAAATCAGTAATTTATATCAATATTGGACATTTTCATTTGTTTTGGGGTCTATTGAATGAAAAACGGCATTTGTGTCTTGTTAAGATAGATAAAAGTAATTCATTTTCCGTTTCATTTCTTTTACCGAGAGCCTTTTTTTAAATTAAGATGTTCATTTTTGAATAACAAATATTTTCAAGCAAGTAAACAATTTGAATGTGTACTCACCTCAGTGTCACTGCTTGCATTTCAGGAGGAGAAATGCAGTTCCGCATATTGGTGTCGTCATGTTTAAAATGGATGCATAAAATTGTCAGTAACTTGTCAAATTCTTTTGACATTCTAAAAAATTAACATGCTTTGTGTCGTCCTGTCGTAGTTTTTCAAACAGCATACTAAATGCACCAAATTTAAATCAGTCTTGCAACACAGGATGCACCCAGTACCTTCTGCATCGTCGCTGTTTCTTGTTGTAAAAATAATATAGTGCAATGAGGGTGCATACATCCATATTATCCATTCTACTGCACCCGTGCACAGACTCACCTCGAGTTGAGTGAAACTTTTACCGTGCGCCTACAGTCTCCGTGGACAAGGCCACCCGGTTTTGTCTGCCGCCCGGCGGAATTCTTGTCGTGGACAAGGGCCCATAGTGTGTATAGCCGTCAGTGAGACGTCACGGATGTCATTGAAACTGAACTGAACGCGGTACTGACATGTCACCGATATGTGTAAATAGGCCTTGACTGTGATGGCTGTGACATCCAGTTCTTGGCAATTCACCGCATGTAAAACAATTCAAGGCCGCCCTGGTCTGGTCAAGTGGGATTTGTGGTGGACAAAGTGGCGTTGGGGCGGGTTTTTCTCCGAGTACTTTGGTTTCCCCTGCAGGGGCGGCCCGCGTATAGGCACTGTGGAACTGCAGCACCCCCAATTTCCACTTGATATTATCGATAACATTTATATAATGAGTCCTTTTTTCTT